AGAAATGTTTGGTCATTAATTTCCTAAAAAATTGAAGCTTTTCTTCATTTTTTGAGCAATTTCTTTGAGAAATATAGACCAAGGCCTTCGTTTTTCCCCAAATTTTTACCAGAACCTTTTGCCCCACAAGCCAAGTCTTCTCACGTATATTCGAACCCATGAGGGTAGATATGGAAACCCCTTGTATGGACAAGATGGTCGGTATTACCATTGTAAATCCAAAGAATGAATTGGGATTGTCCATAACCTACTCCCCAGGAAGAAATGCCAGAACATAGCGCTGGGCCCTTGCATGGCGCGCGGGCTTATTTGATGTTTTGATTGAAAGACAGGGCGTATTATTTATAATTTATTCTAGATAGAGATTGGGTGAGGCCCCGGTTTCTATTTCTCCTCTGCCACTTTTTAGTTGGTTCTCTTATGTGTATATAGGAGACCTTTGTGTAAAACCTATCGGAACAAACAGCAGGTTAAAATAAACTATAAAAATACCCGCAAGAACGGGTGTATTCCCACCCCCCCCTAAGTGGTTAACTTAGAGAACCATCAGGTACCTCAATTAACGAAGAAAAATATGGTGCGCAGCAAATAACCTCGTCCCAAGGATAGGAATTAAAGTGAGACGGGCAAGGTAACAAAAGGACCCTCCAATCAGCATCCCATCTCCACGCAGAAAAACCCATAAATCAATTTTAATAAACCTGTAACGAATGGGTGTTTATTGTGTTGAAAAGGAGTGGGCTGATGCCCCTGACGCGTCGGTTGCTGTTCCGTACAATTCAGCGGTTGGAGTGAGTTAAAGACACAATTCTTTTTGTAATGTATTAAAAATTATAAGTACTTTAACAGTGGTTGGTTACAGGTGGACCTTTAGCGTTACAACAAACCGTATACTTTGTTATCAACCTCCATACAGGACTAATTATTATTTTGTTAAACAGTTTTTGCTAAGTAAAAAGTCCCTGAGAACGATCTTAATACATAAGTCTAGGCAGGAGGGGAGTAGCCGAAAAAAGGAAAAGTAAAATAAATCGGTCCAAAAAGGTAAAAACACTTTCCAGCTCAGCAGTAAAATTCCCCCAAAAAAATTGTGAAAAAAAAAGAATAAAGATTAAGAAGTGTGAAATAATTTTTGTGTCATTATCCGTTTTCAGAGTTATTTGTTGCCAAGGTTCTGTATATAATTAAAAAAACAAATTTTTTTTATTATTTAAATACGACCTTAATACCGATAAACCATTGAAGGTCCAGGAATAAATTTACATTAATAATAACTTACCCGAATATTTAGTGTATTAAAAGCATTTCCTTTTGAATAACACATCTTGGGGTTCCTTAATCAATTTGAACCAACAATAGGGACACAAACGAAGGCTTATTCATGTCTTCCAAGGATGCAAACATTTGTTCCTCCTTATAAATGTGGGGAAAAAAAAACTGTTCCATCGCACTTATAACAATACAATTTGGGTTTGAAATCCAAAGTAAAAGAACATTCTGTAGGGTTCAGTCGACCTAAGATGTCGCACTCACCGGCGGACGCCTGGACGCGGCCCGCCCCGCAATCCGGCTCGCACGGGCCCACACCCCTCCGCGCCCTCAGCGAACCTACTTATGGTCTCATATAGTCAGTTGTACTAATGTTTAGTGGTTTGATCATTACTCAGCTATATAATGTTACTGCTGATCGATATATAATGGACTAGAAATTGGTCCAAGTTTACAGAACTTGTAGAAACTGGAACTCCATGACTAACTGTAGTATTTATGGAAGATTCATCGTTAACGTGTACAAACTGAGAACGATCTGATAAGTATGACCTAAACCAGCTTAGTGCGGTTCCTTTAATGCTAATTAGATGCTCAAGAATCTGTAAAAGATGAGAGCAACCCATCCAGGTACTTTGGATTTCTGTCAAGCCCCCGCACCCTTTTAGAAGAAAACAGTCTCTAATTTGACTGGCAGTAAATGTCAATTCTGAGGTCTTTGCCAATTTAATAAGATAAAATAGGAATATTGTATTGCTCTGTAGCTATTAGGAGCCAAAATCCTACAGCCAGCAAACAACTATGATGTTTCAGTTTCTATCTCAGTCGAAGTACTGGACGTATATAAATATGTTATTGAATCTCATATTTCAGACATCTGACACTGTTTCTGTCGTAAAGACTTTATTTTTCTGTTTTGTTCAACTGTTCAATGTGACGTTACTGTAAACTAATCCCATTGCTGTGGCGAAGTGGAACCGCCGTTTGTGTTTATTCATCAAACTTTTACTGCAAGCCTTGATTTCGGACTCGTATCAGTGAATCTTTACACTCCTAATACCCAGCATATGTTTGATAATATAGAGCATACTGCACACTTCAAGTACATTAAAGTCATTCAAATCAATCCAAGGCTTAACAATTAAATAGCTCTGCATTCCATCATTGTTTTGGGTCTTGTTGCTGTCTGGAGGGAGTTTCTCTCTCCAGTGCAGCTTTTACCCGAGTTACCTGGATGAACTGTCTGTATTCTGCTGTTTATTTCCATTTTCTCTACATCTTTTGTGCGAATTACATTAATTAATTACTCTTTTTGTTTGCGGGACATTTTTGAGGTGAAGTGCCTCTTACAAGCACACACAGACCTCAGAGTGGAAAACAGAGACAGCAGAGAGCTGACGATGGCTGCACCATGCAATACAGCTTCATGAGTAAAAACAGCTGCGTGACAAATGATTGTATCAATATAGCTCAACATAGCCATTACCAGTCAGTACACAAAAGATTGTTGAGATTGGATCATCTCTGACTATATGTACTGTAAATATTTATATATAGATATATATTAATCCACGTATTGATTCATATATTGATATGTACTTACAGGTATGAGGTGGTTGGATGGCAGGTTGAAGGCCTGAGCAATCGCTATGGCCATCTCATATTTGGTCATCTGCTCTTTAGCTGAGAAATGAAATATTCCTCTGATAGACGTGTCCTGGAACAGACAGACAGGTGGTGAGACAGGCAGAGAGAGCATAGACAGACACTACCACACTTCTCTCTCTATCTCTCTCTCTCTCTCTGACACACAGACGGTACCTGTCTGGCTCTCTCGGCCAGCTTCCTGCAGACGGTGGCGACATCCCGGCTGTCGGTGGGGAACCTCTGTTGGCAGTGATCCAGAGTGCAGCTCTCTGTCGTCTCCTGGACTTTGAGCCACAGGGACGTCACTGCGCTTTCAGACACCGACTCCACCTCCCCGAACAGAACCGGCACCCGCAGGACCACCGCACCTGACAAACAGACCGGTCACCGAGAGAAAGGTGACAGACAGCAAGGTGAATCAGACTAACCAAAATGTACAGTTTGTAGGGAAAAACTGTTAATGGATTGATTGATTAATAATGGATTATATTGATGCTGAATTGACAGTCAAACTGACTTTCTTGAAAGGAGTTTACGTAATATTTTCCTGGAGCGCAGGGAGCTTAGCTGAATTCCAACTGCTTTATGTACTTTTTTACGTTTCGTTGATATTGAAGTTGAGGTAAAAATAATTAATTGCCTTCATCTGAAAACCGTTTAGTCTCAGGTGTTTCTGTGGCCGCGGCTGAAGTGGGAGACACAGGAGTGTGCATGAGGACCGAGAGGCCCTGGTCTGGCCATTCGGGGTTATAGTCCCCACAGATTTTCTCTCTTTGTCCCCAGAACAACAACAACAACAACAATTCTCCCCTTTTACAGGAGGGTTTACAGGTAGATATGTGGAGAAACTTGTGTTTTATTGGCTGACAGAGTTACTATGGTAACGCTAGTTCAGTCAGTGAGAGGATAAAATGGACATATGAAGATATTTTAGTGGTAAAATGGTTGGAAGGGTGAAGCAGTACTGGGCAGTTTCGTGGTGTATCATGTTTGTTAGTATTTTATTTATTGTTTGTGCAGACAGGGCCTTTATGGGTTTGGAGTGTCTTATTCTAATGTCAGCAGTACAATAAAATATAAAAACACTATGTCATCGTGTGTAACGTAATTGGCTAAAAGAACAGCTGTGTAGGCTTTTCATAACTTGAACAAAGAGGGCATACTCAGAAGCTGAAAAAGTACAGTACACAGAAGGAAATGATGCCAGCATGTAGCAAAACCAGGCGACACCAGTCGTGTGCACGTGTCCCTTATACCATCAAATTCATTGAAATGTGCATTGGGGAAACGGACAGCCCACGTGGACCCCCAACCTTTGCCTCGGGACCCACAAATTACTTATTAAACGATGGACTGTAGGATATGCGGCCGTGTGTTGGGTTTCTGGTTCGTCACTCGCAATGGACAAACAGACTTCACAAGAGAAGGAGATCGGATGGTTGATAACTGAAGTTGTTGGCAATGCAGTACGAGTATTCTATCTGGTCGGTGTTGGGTCCTCTGGAATAAGCAAAATCTACAGAGGTGGGTTCAGAGACGTGTACGAGTGGCAGAATAATATGTCTGATGCCCATCAAGGGTGGATTTCAAGGTCTGCACCATCGGAAAGAACTGATGCCAATTGGTATAATGGAGCTTTGAAAACTTGATATTTGGCCTGTTCTATCTTCTACCCAGTCCAAAGTGCTTACACTATAACATGGCATTTAAAACTTTACCCAGACCCCTTCCAGAACACCAGTCGATGACCTTGTACCACCAAACTCACTCTCATCCCACCCAACGCAAACATTCAGGGCAAGTTGAGTTCGTTGTTGCTGCCAAATTAGTAAGCATCCTGCCAGCCATGTGGGAGGGGACTCAGACATGTTTACTGTGGCTCCTGGCCTGTATTGGAACTGCTGGCCACTGGGTTTGTGGGTGTGTCCCGAGATGAAGTTGAGTTAACATGCAGGTCAAGACGTTTTGTGGCAGAAAAGAAGGAGGAGAGAGAGAGGAAACGAGAGGGAGTCAGTGCATGAATGGGAAAGACATCCATCTCTATCTCTAGTTCCTCTGTTAACATCATCTCTAGTAAATGTCAGAATGCTGTACTTGTGGTAGTGCCCCTTTTCTGGCTTGGTCCGAACACTTAAAGAATCGCGTTTACCATACATTTCAAACATGTCACCCTTGTCAACAGAATATTTCCTCGAGTGGCAGGGGCCATTTCGAACATAAGCCACCTATGGCCAGCAGCATTTGATACTGTGACATGTGGCGACAGGAAGGCCGGGGAATCGAACCCAACAACCTTTTATTAGGGAGGACGACCCCCTTTCCTCTGGCGGCACAGGCCGGCCACTGTAACTTTTCGCTATCTCTGTAAACATCCGTTTACTCTGGTAACAATCCGTCTCTGTACGGAACTCCCGTCTCTAGGGGACGTTCTGTCTGCTGTAACATGCTGGTCACAAAGCTTGCCTGGGGCCAGGCGTTCTCCTGCTACAGATCAGCCAGACTTAACGTTTTCGCATTGGGAGGGAATCCTCCGTACGGAGAAGACGAACAGTCCGAATCCTGGCTCAACCGTGGGTGGATGGGAGCGCATGCACAACTCTGGGACCCGGGTCAGCAGAGAGAGACTCTGCGACTTAGCCCCAGCTTGTCCATTATCAATTTCTTGCGTAGCCTGTTTTTCTGTCTCTAGTCTGCGTGCCGAGCCGTGTCTGTCGTCTCATCCTCTTGTCTTTTTCGCTACCTTTTTGTTTTTTCTTTTTTCAACCTTCTTCTTTCGTACCTGGTTCGTTCCTATTCTTTCAATGTTCTTTCTCATTGATTTGATTTTTGTTGGAAGTTAAAAGAGATGATGTTTTACACATGAGTTGGAAGTTTATGAGAATCTTGACTGGATTAATTGGCAGACCGGTGGTGTGCTGGTTTGTCAGACACCAATGTGCAAAAGTAAAGAGCGACAAACACGCGTGACGCTGTGAGAGCAGGGAGGAATTGTTGCAGTAGAGAATGTTGAGAAGGAGCGAGTATTCTTGCATATAAGGAGGAATAGGTTTGTGATTCTTGCCTGGAGGCAATCATTTGAGGATTCTTTTTGTGGCATTGAGAGGGAGCTGGGCGTTCGTTTGTGAGTGGTCTTGACGGTGCGTGGGGGGTGGAGTCGATGTGACGGGGTGGCTCGTTTGAGCATGTTGTTTGGTGTACCGGTTTTGGGGTAGGGAGCGAGGCGTGTGCGAGCTGTGCTGTGGTGGATGAGGAATAGAGATATCTGGTATTTTACCTGTGTGAGGCAGCGTGGTAAGAAAGACGATTTAGAAAAAGAAACGGGCAAAACAGCGAGAAGCAGTGATCAAGATGCAAAGATAACGAGGGCGGCCGGAGATGACTGTGAAAAGGTGGGGTGCAAAAGAGCAGAGGAGAATCGATGAGTGGTGGGATGTGGGGAGGGAGGGAATGAAGTAGTCGCCAGTTGTATGGAACTGGCTGCGTCCCGAGGAGGTTGTATGTATGCATGGTGGTACGTGGGAAGAAGGGAAGCGCGCCTGGAGTGCGCAACTAGGAAGACCGAGCGTTGGTCGAGTTCTTATCGTTGTATACATTTATATGATGTTATCTCCTTTGTGTTCTAGATGTGTTGTGCTTTATTTTCTGTGGGTGTGATGTTTGTGATTATGTATGGGGTGGGCGCGCCATATCCCAGTCACTGACAGGTGCATGCCTCTGGCAGTCAGCCTATGTCTATGCTGCTGCTTATCATGCTGTCATTTGTGTGTCGTCTGCGTCTAGATGCTACTGTCGTCCGGTGGTGTAATTATGTGAACGTCAAAGGCGGGTTTTGTAGTGTTTGTTGGGGCTGTGGGGTTTCGCGGGTGTTTTTGTTTTGGTGGATCGGTTTGTAATGGTGTGTGTGGTTATTTCGTCATGTATATAATGTAAGTTATATCTTGTTGTGGGGGGGTTGGTCGGTGCCCGTTGCACATGTAACGAAAGTTCAACCTTTCAGTCCACCCTGCAGGGAGTCAGTCGGTGCAGGTGCCGGCGCGAGGCGGTTGGCGTGTGCATTAGCGGTGATAAACACAGCAGGGTTGCGTATGGAGGTGGGGGCTGAGGGTCAGACAGGCGCCGGGACGTGGCACAGTAGAATGGTGTGGAAGTCGATGAGGTGATGATTCAAAGCCAGC